AGAGAGAGAGAGAGAGAGAGAGAGAGAGAGAGAGAGAGAGAGAGAGAGAGAGAGAGAGAGAGAGAGAGAGAGAGAGAGAGAGAGAGAGCATGGCCAGGCAGCCAGTCTCAAGTTTGCCAAGTGCATTGGACACCTGGTGAAGCATGACATATTCCTGTTCAGGATTGTTCTCTTGAAGTTACAACAATAGTCAAGATTCATAACCCAGGCTAAGCCTGAAAAGACCCTGCCAGCCCTAAGTGAAGGCGGGGCTGGCAAAAATATGGCCGGCCCTGAGAAAAAGGGCCAATGTGAGCAGAATGGCCTCGGGTAGTTGCAGCACACGTGCAGCATCTTCAACTAACCGGTGGGGCCAACCCACGGTCAGTTGAAGATGCTGGGCCTGTGAGAACATTCTGGAAAGTCCCGGGCGCAGGGAAACTGGGAGAGGGTACATCCTGGTGCGGTCTCCTCAGCCTCTCCATCCAGCACAAAAGACTGGAGGCTGCCCAGGCTTTCACATCTGGGCATTGTGCCAATGGGGCAGCACTGCATGAGTGGTAGCTGAGCAGTGTGCCCCTGGAAGCTGCTGTGGTGGCAGTGAGGAAGAAGAAGGGAGAGCACCAGCAATATCCAGGCTGAGCGCTCCATAGCCAGATAGTGGAAGTGTCGGAGGTCCTTTTAGGGATAAGGTGTGGGTTCAAGGAAGAGACGTGATGTGAACGAGGCACTTACGAGGGCAGGCTGTTCGATCAGAGTCTTCAAGGGGTATTGGGCTCCTATCAATCTAGCCTATCATTGCACGTGGCTATCTTCTCTACAGCGAAGCATTCCAGGTAGCACCTGTCCTGGGGCAAAACTCCGAGGTGTGTGTGGTCGAGCTTGTGTGCTCTGCCTTCAGTGACCTCTGTGTGTGGGTGGGTCCACCTGGCCGTCAGGGTTGCTGAACCCGGTGTGTGCGGCCTCCATCCGGGTCTCCTCCCGCCGTAATATCCCCGACACCTCTACAACCCTGTGTATAATCACAATCTATGCCTCAGAGGACAGTCATTCAAATATCACACCGTGAACCAAGTCCCACGACGGAATGAAACCGGCATTCCGGCCACGAGACCCAGGGGTACACAGGGCCGGTCTGCCTGCAGGCCCAAGGGGTACGCAATGGCACACAATTTTTTTTATTATTTTTTTTTTTTTTTTAAATCTTCTCTGTATCGTTCCAATTTTAACGGATGTCCCGAAGGACATGGCACACAAATATTTAGTGCTCAGATTTTGGCATTTTCGTGCTCAGAGCTGTTTATCAGGCGCAATATTTGGCTGATCTTCTCTAAGCAAATATTTACATGTCCAATAGACAGCGAAGTAAATTCTGGCAGCAAAGATTCAGACAATTTCACAGTTTCACATTCTTTAAATTTCTTGTGCATTTTTTCAATTTTTTTGGCTGCCCTCTGTTACCGTAGGCCTAAAAATCTTTTGCTTCCTGGCCATACCGGTAGTCCGAATTTCTAACCGCCCTGGGGAAGGGTGGTTTAAGAAATTTCAAGCGTTGAGGACCAGGTGTATTAAATAGTATTTAGAGGTTGCAGCATATTGCTCCAGAACCTCCTTTGAAAGTGTCATGATGCAAACCACTCACTTCGAGATCATGTATGTTTTAATTACCTGCCAAACTGCCAATGGCTTCAGCAGAAGTCAAATCTGAAATGAGATCATTATCAGACGCTCCAGCTTGTCTTCCCCAATCCTCTTTTGGAGCATTTGGAAGACTAAAACTCCCAACCATCTCTTCCCATGACAAGGCATTCTCAAGGTCCCCACTAAGGAAAACAACATCATGAATTTCCTCATGTTCTGTGGACCGTTTCAAAGCACTATTCTCCATAGTTCCACCTGCAGCACACCCAAGAGAATGCACAACGACATGACCACAACATGCACTGTCATGTTTCACCTGACTGCTCAGCAAAGCTGTTCTTGCACACACACACACACACACACACACACACATCAGTGCTTTCTTGCTGGTGGAGTCCTGTGTGTTAGGTAAGGCTTTTCCCCTCCACCCTTTTATGGATTATGAAATAAATACATGTATATATATAGGTGCCGCTTCTGCGACAGACGGGTGTGTGGGCACTTGGCGCTGAACCACACAAACGTGGCCAACCTTGCATTTTCTATTGTATTGTCTATCTATACTTTTTCCTCATGGATGGTTTATTATGATTTGTGGAGGGAATGTGTTGCATACCGTATAGGTGCAGACCAGAACAAGAACCGACCTTTCAATACTAGGTATAAGATAGCACAGCGGAAGGCTTAGATGCCAGTGATCCGAACAATCAATGTTGTAATGCAGCCCTGAACATACATCATCATCATCGTTTCATAGTGTGAATGGGTCTGGCGCTTCACACAGGAAGACAGCGCCAGCCCAGAACATGCACAGACGAGGAGGAAGGGGATAGACGAAGAGGAAGGGGAAGATGGGAATGTCGTCAACACCAAGTCTTCGGCACAAGCCCAAATAGTCCCTCGTCAAACTGTCTGAATCCCAAATGTCAAGTCTGGATCCAATGTCGTCAAGTCTCAAGTCACAACTCTGTCTCTCTCTGTCGTAGTCTGAGAAGTCAGGTGGCGAGAGGGTGAGAAGAGAAAGTGGACTTAGAAGAGGAAGAACAAGAACTCTCTCTCTCTCTCTCTGTGTCCAGTACTAACCTGTGAAGTTGGCGCCTTGATGCAGGTACCACGGAGATGGAGCTGGAGCGATGGCGCCACA